TAGTAAATGAACTTTAATATTAATTATTGCTGAAATAACAGGAAATACTAGCTTCAAATACTTGATTAAATGCAATCACATGAACAAAGAACAGGCTTTGGGCAACAAAAATCTTCCATACTGAATACTCCATCCCAAATAACCACAGAATCATAGAATCATTAAGGTTGGAATGGACCTTAAAGATCATCAAGTTCCAACCCCCCTGCCACAAGCAGGGAACCCTACCACTAGACCAGGTCGCATAAAACCTCATCCAACCTGGCCTTAAAAACCTCCAGAGATGGGCATCAACAACCTCTCTGGGCAATCCATTCCAGTTCCTCACCACCCTTATAGTGAAGAACTTCCTCCTAGTATTTAACTTAAATAACCCTCTCTCAGTTTAAAACCATTACCCCTTGTCCTATCACTATCTTCTCTGATGAAAAGCTCCTCCCCAGCTTTCCAGTAGCCCCTTCAAGTACTGGAAGGCTACTATAAGGTCTCCCTGGAGCCTTCTCTTCTCTAGGCTGAACAGGCCCAACTCTCTCAGCCTGTCTTCATAGCAGAGGTGCTCCAGCCCTCTGATAATCTTTTTGGCCCTTCTCTGGACCCTCTCCAACAGGTCTATATCTTTCTTGTGCTGAGGGCACCAGAACTGTACCCAGTATTCCAGGTAGGGTCTCACCAGAGCAGAGCAGAGGGGCAGAATCACCTCTCTGGCCCTGCTGGCCACACTTCTTTTGATGCAGCCCAGGATGCAGTTGCTCTCTGGACTCCAGCACACACTGGTGGCTCATGTGGAGCTTCTCATCTACTACCACCCCCAAGTCCTTCTCCTCAGAACTGGTCTCCAGCCATTCTTCCCCAGCCTTTATTTGTGCCTGGGGTTGTTCCGACCAGGTGCACGACCCTGTACTTGGCCTTGCGGAACTTCTCCTTAGTTGTTCTTTTCTCCCCAGCATACCTATAGAAGCTTTTCTTATTGTTCTTAACATCCCTGGCAAGATTTAATTCTAGCAGGCATTTGGCTTTCCTAACCTGATCCCTAGCTGCTTGGACAACCTCTCTGTAATCCTCCCAGGATACCTGCCCTAGCTTCCACCCCCTGTGCACTTCCTTCTTAAGTCTGAGCTTTTCTAGGAGCTGCTTGCTCATCCATGCCGCCCTCCTGGAGTTTCTACTTGACTTCCTCTTAGTTGGGATGCAATGCACTTGGGCCTGGAGAAGGTGATCCTTAAATATCAGCCAGCTTTCATGGGCCTCTCTACCCTCCAGGCTGTTATCCCAAGACACTCTCTTGAGCAGATCCCTAAAGAGGCTGAAATCTGCCCTTCTGAAGTCAAGGGTAGTAAGCTTGCTGTGAACCCTCCTTGCTGCCCTAAGGATTTTGAACTCCACAATTTCATGGTCACTACAACTAAGGCTGCCCTTAAGCTTAATGTCCCTCACCAGCCCTTCCTTGTTGGTGAGGACAAGATCCAGCATAGCACCTCTCCTTGTTGGTTCCTCGATTACTTGGAAAAGGAATTATCACCCATGCACTCTAGAAACCTCCTGGATTGTTTGTGTTCGCAGAGCATATATCAAGTATAAGGGAAATCTCTGGTAAATATGAATTTAACACACTTCAGAGGAAAAGAATAATGTTGCCTTCAAACTGAAATATTCATGTCCTGATAAAAGGCAGACAAACGTACTTAATAGTAGGAATAAATAACATTTAATAGTAATAAAACTCTTATTCCTAGACAGTAGTTTACTTCTGTACTCTCTTTTTTCAGTTTTCAAAGACGCTATCTGAATTCTACTTTATGTGGTGAAAAAATAAGCTTTTTAGAAAAACTGATAAGCAATGATTCTTCTGCTGTCAAAGGGCTTTCCACATAACCACACAAATTACCAAATACACTTGAGTATGTTGGTACACTGCGGCAAATTCTGCCCTGATCAATTTATTTTCATTTTCTACTTCCTAAATAAACAATCAAGTACATAATCTAATAGTTACTTGTGTTTTTAATAACTGAATGAATAGGCTTTGATTGATCCTCTCACTTTTTCCCACAAAGGAAAAAAAAGTATTCAATCCTTCCAGTGCTACTATTAAAATCTATTTCCACAAGATATACCAGAACAGAGCCAAGACCAATCTCATGCTTTAAAAAAATGTATAGCACTAGTTTTGAAAACAACTGAAGGTAAAAATATATATTTATCTATAAAACCTTTTGAAACTATCAGAAATACATACCCTTTCAGAGTAAAACAAGTTATTTTTTATCCTCATGGTGTCTGAAAACAGTAATGACTCTCTTTGTATAACAATACAATAAAAGGAGAGTGGACAATTAGGTTCAACTCAACCACCTAATCTGAAAGTCCATCTTCAATTAAAGGAGTGACTGTCCTTTTTCACTCGGCACAGGTGACACAAACACTCACCTCAAAATACACCTCAAATACTGTATTCAGTTTTGGGCACCTCACTTCAGTTAAGACATAGAGGTGCTGGAGCATGTTCAAAGGGCAATGAAGCTGGTGAAAGCCTAGAGAACAGGTCATAGTCTGGAGAAAAGGAGGCTAGGAGGAGACCTTAATGCTCTCTACAACTACCTGAAAGGAGGTTGTAGGGAGGTGGGGGTTGGTCTCTTCTCCCAAGTAACAAGTGACAGGACAAGAGGAAATAGCCTTAAGTTGTGATAGGGTAAGTTTTTATTGGATATTAAGAAAAAATGTCTTCACCAAAAGGGTAGTCAGGCACTAGAACAGACTGCCCAGGGAAATGACTGAGTCACCATTCCTGAAGGTATTTAAAAGCTGTGTAAGATGTGGTGTTTACGGACATGGTTTAGGGGTGGACTTGGCAGTGCTAGTTTAATGGTTGGACTTGATGATCTTAAGGACTTTTTCCAACCTAAACTATTCTATCACTCTTCCTCTGCCCGTGGATTAGTTTTATTCCTTCAGGAAGCACTGTTTCTGAGCTGGTGATTTCCTTGCCTTTTTAGCACCCACCATGCCAGTTCCTCTATTGAGAAGGAGTAAGTGGCAATCACAGGTAGTGTGTTATGATATTCTGGAAATTACTGTAAGTCCTATGCTACAACTCATAAGCAAAATCAATAACTCAATACTACAGAATCACTGCAGTACCATGCCAGGATAGTCCCAAGTGAAATACTCCCTGCAAGGAGCATGGGCATGATGAGCAGAGTACTGGAACACTGGACCAGGCTACCCAGGGAAGTGGCTGAGTCACCATCCCTGGAGGTATTTAGAAGATGTGTAGATGCCACACTTATGGACATGGTTTTGTGGTTGATTAGGCAGTGTTAGGTTAATGATTAGACTTGATTTTAAGGGTCTTCTCCAACCTAAATCATTCTATGATTCTACATGGAATATTTAGAAAGCCATCCACTACTGTACAATACACAGAAGATACTTCTTTTGTGAAGGTAGGAAATTAATTTATTTACTGCTGCAAAACTGAACCATAAATTACAGCACAAAAAGTGACAGAACTACGTTCCACAAAACCAAAAATTAAATATTTCAATTTGATACTGAGATTCTGACTTTAGGTTTAAAATAGTATACATAAGTCAAGAACTCATCTCAATATCTTCATATCAATACAACTGACACCATGGAATTATCTACTGTTGAAATTTTGTAATAGTCCTATAAGGGCCTTTTTGTTATTTTAACTTTAAGCAGCAACATTTTCTGAGAGAATACATCTTTTCCTGGTCTACATTTCCAATCTAAAGCATAACAAACCAACAAAACACTTCCTTTGGTGAAATTCTTGCCTATGCAATCAAAGGTAACTACTGCTTGTTCCTACACTGATTATAAGCTTTGGTTAAAAATATTTCATATTCACTATGAAACAAAACATTTTTAGATAAAACATCTATTAATGAACACCTTCTGCTTCCAACATTGGAACACACCATGTGGCTGTTATAATAAACAGGTCAGAAAGACCTCACAGACAACACAGTTACATATCGATATGATACATTTCTAATCATATCAGCTAAGGTTGTGCATGTAAACTAAAACAAACTAAATCAGGCCTCCAGTCTGTACTGGGCAACCACAAAATCCTCCTGTGTTTTTTCACTTCTCTGGCTACTTTTAGCGTGCCCAAGAACCAAATACAAGTTTCTTTTCCTGCAAGGAAAAACTAAATCCCACAGAACTTCCTGGGCACCACATCACATAACAGCTTCTGCATATTGCAAAGATTAAGTAACCCAGAAAGGCACTCAGGCTAATCAGAACAAAACAGAAATACAGCTGCCTGGGCTCTTGAATTGTGGCTTCTGTGATTTACTGCCCAGAGATACTCCAAGTTTCACCCAACACAACTACAAATGTTACAAAGAACAAAATAGCAACTTGTAATACTTCATCTGCAAGAAGCAGACGAAATGTATCAATACGCAGTCTTCAAATTTAGAAGCCACATAGCCACTTCAAAAACGGTTTTGGTAAACTCTTTACTTTTAGTACTATCAGGCAACAGATTGTCTTAAAATCAGTTATGACAAGAAATATGTGATGGCATCACAAAACAGTCCTGTTTCCACATCAGTGCCCAAAGATCGTGCCACAGCTTGGCTCCTGTAGAGCTGACTGACACACAGAGAAGTGACAGCATCACCACCCATGATCAGTTGCTCTGGAAAGAAATTATGTCCATGTTTCATGACCTGAAATTTTTATATTTCCCTTTACAGGAGAAGTATCCAGTTCTATCTGAAATCATTACAAATTAAGTTGTAAATTAGAACTACTCAGTTTTATCAACACTTTCATATAACCCAGTCACTATTAATAGCATTTATTCAGTACAACACAAAAATTACTGTTTGAAAGAGAGGGAGTAACTTTAAATGATGATATCCTTTCAATCCTCTCCACAAAGTAATGTTTGCAAACTTTCCATGCAGCTACAGCTTAATTTTTTGAGGAAAAAAATCAAGCACTTAATATCAACTTACCAACTAGATCATCATTTGAATAATCCTCAGCTTGAACAGGCATTTCTGTAAGTGAAAAGTGGACAAACAATTCAAACTGGATGGTTCTGAATATTTACAAACAGCTGTATTTATTCCCTTATGCTCAAAACAGTGAACTATCAAGACTGCTCTGTAATACTAGTTTTGCAGAAGTGGGATGCAAAATTTCCTTAGCTGAATTTCTCCATGGGAAAGGTTAATACTTAAGCAGGCCAAAGAGTAAATTGTAGGATTGAAAAGTTCCAAAAATAATACCTCAAAATCCTAAAACTATGTTATCCAAAGTCCAAATCTCCCAGTTTCATGTGGTACTACAGTACCATGGACTTACAAAATATTCCCAGCTGTAACTGTGAAATATTTGACCTCAAAATTAAGTTCTTTTGAATTTCATATGTATATTTAAATGAAACGTCACATGTCAGTGAATGCTTTTACTCCTTATAGACTGAAGGTTGCACATAGCTCCCTATTCATGCACAGAGGGAGTAAGGCTTAACGGAAAATAATTTATAATAGCTAGGATGCTGGCTCTAGACAATAAGAAGGATCAAAGAGAGGGAAATACATTCTCTGCCTTGAGAAGCCCATAAATAAAGTGCTCTAACATGGGGAGACATGCCACTTTATTTTCTTACGCACACTCTCATTCCCAAGTATGCAGCACTGACTGGCTGGTGGGAAACAGAACAAAGAAATCTTCATGTTTGTATGATCTAATACAGGCATTTTTATAGATCTTAGTTTTTCTGAACTGGGAGCACTCTCAACTTCTAAAACTGAAGAGTGCTCTGTAAAAATACTAAAATATACTGTCATTAAAAAATCCAAGATGCTATATTCTGACAACACAGTTTTGTTTGTCCTTAAAAGAAAAAAAGCCACAGAAAAAGTTACAAATGTGTTTTTACTGCAACACAGAATTTTATTCTGTGATATCTGTCATTCTCTTTTTTTTTAAATAGCAAATTTATGCAAAAGATAATACACAAACCTGATTGCTCCGGTTCAGTGGACACAGCCTCTTCTGTATGCTTACTTTCTACTGTTAGAAAGAAACAAATGTTGCAAGTTACACACAGCTAATTAACAATTTTATTTTTATTCCCCACCAGCCATAGAATCAAACAAAAAACAACTTAACTTACAGAACAACGACCTAGTTGAACTTCAGAGTAGAAAAAAGGTACTGAATGTCCAAAAGTTTGGTTCCTTTCTGTTATTAACTTCCATTCTTATCGCACCCCCTCAAAAATTATTTAGCTTGCAATTGTTTGTGTGAAACAATGTTTGTTCCTCCATTTAGTTATACAAGAACAAAGTTTGCAAATAGAAACCTAAATAAATATAGCATCAAATCCTACACTGTGCTCAAACTACAGTTTAGATCACTTTACTCTAGCTGACTGAATTAATTAATCATGTTTGAAAAAAATCTTGCTTCATGATCATTTGTTCTGAGAAGTTAAAAATTTCAAATTAGATGTGACCCAGTACTCATTTTAAATTCCCTGAAAACAGCAAAACAAACAAAAATTTATTATTTTTGAGTAGTATTCTGGGAAATCAATATACTCAACTCCTCAAACTGAAGGTTTAAGTACTACATAAGAATGACATGAAGTTCAGCAAGGACAAGCGCAAGGTCCTGACCATGGATGAGGGCAATCCCCAGTATTCAGTACAGACTGGGGGGATGAATGGACTAAGAGTAGCCTTGTGGAGAAGGACCTGAGGATCCTCTGGTGGATTAAAAACTGGACATGAACCAGCAATATGTGCTCACATCCCAGAAAACCAACTATATTTTGGGCTGTATCACAAGAAGTGTGACCGGCAGGTTGCGGGATTCTGCCCCTCTGTTCCACTCTCTCAAGACCCCACCTGGACTATTGTGTCCAGTTCTGGAGGCCCCAACACAAGGCCATAGACTTGTCAGAGCAGGTCCCAAGGAGGGCCACAAAAATGATCACAGGGCTGGAGCACCCATCGTATGGGGAACGGCTGAGAGGGTTGGGGTTGTGCAGTCTGGAGAAGGCTCAGGGGAGGCCTCATTGCAGCCTTTCAGTATGTAAAAAGGGCTTATAAGAAAAATGAGACAGACCAAGGCCTGTAGCAATAGGACAAGCAGCAACGGTTTTAAAGTGAAAGCTGGTAACTTTAGATTGGACATAAGAAATGTTTTACGATGAAGGTGGTGAGACACTGGCACAGCTTTCCCAAGGAAGTTGTGGATGCCCCCTCTCAGGAACGCTTCAAGGCCAGGTTGGAAGAGGATCTGAGCAAGGTGATCTACTGAAGGATGTCCCATGGCAGGGGGGTTGGACCAGATAATCTTTAAATGTCCCTTCCAACCCAAACCATTTTATAATTAATTTTTCAATTATATTAACAAATATAAATGGAAGAAAAAATGTTTTCTTTCACAAACTATAAAAACTCATCTATAAAAAGTCATACCTGGCAGCTCTTTATCAGTATCAAAATCTTCAATAATTTCATCTATAAGAGGAAGTATAAAAATAAAGATAATATGTAATCAGCTTGTTTTTGATTGTTTGTTTGGGTTTTTTTGTTTGTTTGTTTTGCATCAGACTTCAAAATGCATATACAAAGTATGTACCTGGCTCTGTAGCTTCATTCTCCTCCTCCGGAAGGTCCTCAACAGCTGAGAAAACATTCAATTCAGATCAATATTAAAGTCAAGCCCTCAACTGATAAAATGTACATACAACGCAAAAGAACACAGCTAACCCACAGACATGTTTAACAGTGAACAGTGAACTGCTATAAACAAACAGGAACTTTAATTAATTTGAGGAAAAAACAGAAATTCTTTAATTTTCTTCCCTGTTTCACTGAAGAACTGAAGGTAAATATTTCAAAATTGTACCTCTTGAGGAAATGTTGTATAGATTAAGTGACAGTAACTTTAAAAACTAAAATTTTAAAGCCAGTCTTAATCTTTACAAGCATAATCAGAACTCCCACTTGCATCTTTTACAGCACCAACTCCAGTGATAGTAGACATACTAAAACCCAAACATTTCCCTCTCCCAAAAAATTCTAAACTTTAAAGTACAAGTCCATTTATCTGTATAAACATGCAATTCCTTGGTGATTCCTACTTTTGTTCCAGAGCTACAATCAGCAAGTTCTTCAACTCAAATTATGGATTCCACAGTATATATTTTTTTGTTTTCTTTGACTATTGTACCTGTTAACTCATTTCACTTCCCTCCTAAGCTTATGATCCCAAAGATGACAAAATAGATACTTACAATTTATTTATACTGCAGTATTTATTGATTTCATTTTAAACTAAACAATTGTCTTTTCAATAGCTGAGATGAATCTCAAAAGAGCTGATATTTCAAGACAGCAAATATTTCAGGACCCAGAGGGAGCTTTTATTTGCTTCTGCTAGCTAGAAAAAGGCACTAGCAATCACTATGCACCAAGGCAGAGCTAGTACTGACAGCCTGTAAACTTTGAACAGTCTTAAGCACTGGCTACAAGGTGTTAAGGAAGCTTCACAACAGGTAGCAGGCTGAGTGTCTGTGCTGAACTACTGTGTTCAAAATGTCCATTGAAACCTTAAAAGAGCAATCCTCAAAGATGGTATATTAAAAGATGGTTCCTCAGCTCACAGTCAAAACTACACTTTTTAACTACAAAGACTGTAATGCACCTTTGCCATAATCGGCACTATATCATGACTGAAGATCACACAGATGACATATTTCAGTACATATAAATTGCAAGATTAAGTTAATGATTTTTATGCTAACCTGAGTCAAACATTTCTCTGATTTTGAGAAGAGTTTATATTCCAATAACATTTATTTTAGAGGTATGTCTACCCTAATCACATATGAAACTAAGATTTTTCTAATATGCTCCACATATATATAAATATATATACCTGGTGGGATGTGTGTGGGAGTGTACACACACACACATACATATATGCACACAGACATCTATATATATATTTATATATATATATATACCTGTATCTTGAGTCTCAGTCTTATCATGTGTATCATGTTTTGGTTCTGAAAGGAAAGAAAAATTAAGTTCCTGTGTGGTTGATATGAATGAAGTATCCTAAAAATTTGGTTGTTAAGCACCCAGTTGACTGATTGCTTTACTGACAAATGTAAAGCTCTCATAAACTTTCTCTACTTTTGGGGCCTTAATAGATATATGAATCCTTACTGTAACTTGTAATAGAAATTCTACACCAAAAAACCCCAAATACCAAATGTGAACATAGTCCTGCAATTTCAAGCATTTCTATATATGCAGATATTGTTATAACTAAAAAAAAAAAAGTTCCTGTAGCATATTCTTGAAAAAAATCCATGATCCAGAAGTCTTAATTTCTAATTAAAATCTCAAACTTGCCTTCATGAAACTCTTCACAGAATTACTGAAAGTTGTGTACAATAACTGAGCCCCTGTATTCCAAGTTAAATGTTCTTTCCATTTACACTCTTTATTGTGGGTACACACACTCATGTCAACTATAGAATTTTTAGAATTAACAATAATTGCAGAAGGTAGGAAGAACCAGTTCCTTTCAAGATGCTAGACATACAAAGTGGGTGCAGCCTACCACAGGCCTTCAGTTTCTCCCATCATGCAAGGCAGAAACCATTACAGGAACTGCCATTCTATTAGAACTTCTTACTGACCTGAATTAAGAAGCAATGCCAGAGTCAGAAAAGAAATTTAACTCCTCTGGCCAACAATCATACTGGCACTGCCCTAACAGCTTTCTGCAAATTCTAGAAAGCATCAGGATTGGAGAAAATAATACCTCAGAGGGTCTGCCAGAAGAGGGGAAACATACCTGATTGACAGAGACAGAGAAAATACATTGAGTCTAGAACAGAGAAGCTTATATTTCTGCTGATTTCTGATCTGCATCTGAAGCTTTAAAGAGAATCTTCTCGTGGATGTGAACTACAGTTTTTGAGCTAATGTCAAAAACACAGCCCTACATTTAAGAAAAAGAATTTCAGATCTCCATGATGATTGCCATCTCTGATTTCAGAGAACTCCTTCTCCAGGAGAAGAGAAAATCTGTTTCCGTTTCAATCCAACCAAAAGCAAGTTTAAAGCTATAAGAAAGATAGGCCAGGAAACAAGAGGGATGAAAACTAAGTACCATAACTGCTAAAATGTCCAGTAAACATTCATGAACAACTACAACTCCCATGTCCTGAAACTGGATAGATTGAACACAGAAGGAAACATGGTGTGTCACAGAAAGACAGCCTCACATATTTAAGCACATCTTCTGAGACATCCATGGTGGGCTGGTTAGCTCAAACCTTAAAGGACTGACAACATAAGATGAGCCTATAGCACTGAGAATGATTAGACTATCTTGCTCATCTTTTCTAGGGATCCTGATAGCAATTTCTCATTATTTTCTCTGGTTATTTCTGAGACACCAGTGAGTGCCTGGAAATAACAGGTCTGTCCTTGGAACAAATAGTGAAATTCCAAATAACTTCTTAACTTCATGTAGCATTCAAGATGGGTAGAGGTTCAGCATGGACAAAAAAAAGAATAAAATAAATATTTGCAAGTGCCAAGGGCACTCAATGCTTCACCTGACTAGTATTTTTCTCCTACACTGCTCCAGGCTAGAGGTCTCAATTAAACTCCTCTATAAAGTACAAGGAAGCATTGTGCTTTCTCTCAGAACCAGATGGTCTCAAAGAGAGGACTTGGAAGCAAGGCATAATTCTGTTAAAAAAAAGGTGAATTGTCAAGATAAAAGCAGTTTGTCAGAAGTGCAGGCATACTTCACTGCATAAAAAGCCTGGCAATTTAGTAGCCAATAATAATAATTTTTTGCCAATCACCTCCCACACCTTGAAATTTCCTTTTGACAAAAAGAATGGAATTTCCTATTCTCTTCATCAGCCTAATTAGAGGATTTGGAATAGTAAAGAAAGAGCAATAAAAAAAAACAAAACCTAAATCTGATTTACCTGATACTATTTCAAACTCTCATTGCGGCACATAAAACCACTGCCTGTGAAGAGCGTGAGTTACGCACAAAACAGAACTATTCACTGTTCCTGTGCTGAGATGCCAGAAGAGACTGCAGAATGTAAAATGGTTTTGGAACTGATTCTATGGAACACTGATACAAATTACTTTGGGAACCTCCATGATCATCTTACTCCAAAAACAGCCAGATGACTCTTCCTGAGGGCAGGGACCATGGAAGAATTCTCTAATCATGTTACCACTACTTATGAAGGAGTTTGAAAAGTAAAGATTAAAAGTTGCACTTCTTCATAGCCAGATGTGAGAAGCAAGAGAAGTGATTCTTGATTAGGAACTGATTGCAAAGTATGTGTCTGCTTGAAAGAAGAATAAATAAGCGTAGGGAAAAAGGTAGGTCTCTCTTGCTTTTCTGTCCTATTGATGCTGCTACATTTCATCAAGCGCATCACAGATGAGGCAAATAATCTTTTCCTGCAGACTGAGAAAGATATGGACTAATTACAGACCTTTGGGACAGTGAAAGTCCTTCAATGGAATTTTTACTTCTATGCCAAAGGTGGATTTTCCTGAGGACAAAGAATGAACTTCAAGGTTTTCTGTCACAAATATTTTGAAGTTAAGAATTGTCCCTTACTCAGGTTATATAAACATGGAAAATAAACAAGGGTGATTTGCTTAACTTTTCTGAAGTACAGTAGTCTGTAGAGGATCTCTCAGAAGAAATCACAACCACATACCTTTGTTTCTAGACTGTGACCACTAGAATTCTTCTCAGTTACTTTTTGATACAGTCTCAGAAATCATTAGCAAATCATTAACCAAATCAAACAAATAGAAAATAATCTCCAAATTACTGGCACTTACAGACAAGTTGAAATTGAAGCATTGAGCTATAAAGCAATAAACCACAGCTGACTTGGCTGGGATTTCATAAGAAAAAGAGCACGTAAAGTCTTCAACATCCTCATTCCACATACGTCCAAAGTATGACAAAGAGGATGAATATGGGAATATAACCTATATGCATACTCTTATACTTATCCTCATGTTAGAAATCAATTGATTGCTTACATATCCAGGGGGTCTGAACATAAAAAAATATCCAAAACCTTAACTGAAAACTTGCAAAGTAATGTGATAACTTAGAAAAATGTTAAGACAAATTATTTCACTTTCATATTAATGAAATTCTTTGATATTGTCACTTAATTAAATGTAGAAGTTGTCATACCATTGTCTTCATTATAATCGTCTTGCACTTTATCATCTGTTTAAAGGAAAAAAAGTCAATATGAAAATTTGTGGAATTTTAAAACATACATAAATACATACAAATAATACGGAGTCAATTTTATTAAGAAAAAATAGAATATTTTATACTGTACTAAAGTTAAAAAGAGTTCAACAAAGTTGAGAATTTCTATGGAATTCTGTGGGAACAGAATGATTTTCTGGCATCACAAGATAGACTTAAAAAAGATAAAGCACCATCACAAAATTTTTCTTATACAGTTCATGAACTCTTTTACAAATTACCTCTGATTCAGAATGGAAATACTCATCATTTCTACATACAGCAAAATTCTGCAGTGGAATTTAGGAATCCACTTGTTACTGCTTTAAAAATTTATTATATTTAAAGGTCCTACCTTTTTCCTGACACCACACTAATTCCAGTATCTTTGGCAAACTGCAATTATTTTTTATCCACAGAAATACTTCTGTGCAACTTAAAATATAAAGTTCATTTCTCCTGGAAATGTAGCCCCCAAAATATTACTCTGCTCATTTTGACATTAGAAAAAGAAGTATCCATATAGGTCTCTGCATTTTTTGAGAACTTAAATAAAAATACACATGTAATAACCTACTAAGGGATTGATGCTACCTACAAAGTCCAACAGTTTTGTTTTTGTTTTTTGTTGTTTGTGTGTGGGTTTTTTTTTCTTGATTTGAGGCCAAAATTCAATGAAACTTCAAAAAAGATAAATAAGATTTTGGACTGTACCTAAATAATATTCCATAGCATCTTCTAGCATTATCTCAGGGTCACCTTAAATAAAAACAATTAAAATTTTATATTCTTAACAAATTTCCTTGTAACAGCTAAATAACAAAAGAAAAGTTTAAAAGATTCCATAATTATCTCAAGAATAGCAGAACTAAACATTTTGACATTTTGCTTGAAAGTGACAGCTGGACTGTAAAACACATACAGCAGCTACCTCTTTAAGTCACACAACATAGTAAATTCATGCATATTTGTATTAGGCTTAAAATTAGGAATATAAGTAGGTCTTTGACAATTCATTGATTAGACTGGAAGTAAGTATTTATGGGTTAGATTCATGGACTGTTGTGTTGACAAATATAACAGTAACACAGCTGCAAAAATCAGCTTTATCTGAAACTACTTGAAAAGCTGTTTGAAAATAAAACTGTAATGTAAACAATCAATGTGACATGTTACTTTGAAGCATGTTTAAAAAAGTGATTATAGTATAATCTGAAGTAATTAAAATTAACAAACCTGGAGCTTCTGGATCGCTTACTGTATTTTCTACTTCCACATCATATTCATATGAAACTGTAAATTCAATATGAAAAAATAAGTATTTTTGAAATAAGAAAATAAACCTTTTTAATACTCTGTTATTTTAATTTGAATCCATAATGTGTCTGACAATAGCTAAATGTAGCTCCTTAGTTGAAAAGTAACAAATCAAAATCTTACAGACACTTGCAACTTGGCACATGGCAAACCAATGGAAGGTGCTGGGCCACTTTCATTTCCATTTTCTGTTATTCTGTCTTTATGAAAACTAGATCAGTTAGTGTCTCCATCAGTATTTTTAATAGTTTTTCTAATACAAATAAAAATCTGATCTTCCTCAATCCTAAATATTCCAAAGCAGCTTCTTTACTTTCTTTTACTTTTTCACTGGTAATGATCTACAGAAGACAAAATAGGAGCCATAAATCAGACCTTGAGAAATATGTACATTTGCTTCTGACATCACAGATTTGGAGCAATTCACATTTTTCATTGCCTAGCTAAATATGTTGATTATTTTAATATGTGACAACAATCATACTCAGCATAAGGCATCTGACAACACATGCTTCTGAAGGAAAAATAGCTATCCTTTCGCTTTGGAACTATGACAGCCTGGATTCCAAATCTGTAACTGGAAACAAGTAATCTGCCATAAAAATATAAATAAGCAGTTTTTGCTGTATCAAACAAATAAAAGTTATTTTTCTGTCATATTTGACACCAAACAGGACTATAAAGTCCAGAACTAACATTGAGCTAAAGATCAGAAGCCTAGGCCAAACAGAAACCAATGTCTAATGTAAATGGAAGAGGCTGCCTATAAACTAACGACAGAAAACATTATTAGCAGACATACAGAGAAGAATCTTATCAGCTAGTAGGAAAACTCTAATATCCACCAAGTTTCCAAGTTTCTTCAAAATAGAAAGATGAGCTAATGTCATTGTACGTGACATCACACACAATAGGAAGATGATTATAAGCTAAATGGATTAGTCCAGGCAACATCTGAAAAAGCTTTCAAGATTAATTAGGTTGTGCTCAAAGACAGTGCAAGGAGAATTCAAAATCATGTCCTTGGTGCTGACTCACTGCTAGATAGAACAATCGGATGTAAAGAAACAGGACTGGATGCTTCTGAAAGGTGACAGTTTCCACATGAGAACACAAGTTTCTGACTAATGTCAAGAATAATAAACTAAAAGAACCTTAGCATTGTATGCTGTAAGAGAACAGTATTATAAGCAATACACCTCATTCTCACATTCTTGGAATGTAAAACCATGTACCTCTTTGCCTGTCCAGATACCAATCATCACAACTGCCAGAAACACACAAAAAAGTAAAAATGAAGTTTTTCCACCAATGCAAGTAGTTTCCACACCTATCATTTGTTCTTTTTAAGAACCACTTGCAATAGCAAGTATGATACATCTCAAAGCAAAAATATACAAGGCAATCAAGAATATTTGTTTTGAAAAAAAAATAATCTCAGAATTACATATTCTTAAACCATTCTAACCTTTTTTTATTTTGCTTTCTCACATAATTAGCTACATTTAGAAAACTAATATTACCAAGTTTGGAAAAATAAAATTATACCTGGAGCTTCATATGGTTCAGGCTCCACTGCTCCAAGATCTTCTGCCAAACGATCAGCATCTGAGAAACAAACATGAATTTATAAATTTTAAAATCAATTAATGATACTGCAAATGCTGTAACAGATCGTGTAAGAATACAGCCAGATTTCAAAGAAGAAATTTTAAGTACATTTCTTCTAGTGCCAGCAAGATTAGTATATAGATCAAAAAAATAAAAATAATCATTTTTTTCTTACATATAATATTGAAAATGTGTATACACATATAAACCCTATACATATTTGCTCAAAAAAAGATGACTCTCCACAGAAATGTCTGTGTCAATGTAAAGTAAGTAGAACATATTCTCTTCGCCTCCTAAAAAGTAATTTTGAAGACTTAAAGCATTTGAATTTGTCCTTTGTTCCCCTACTTCTACTTGCACTGTGGATAAGTAGAAGAGACACAAAAACAAGGAGATACAATAGACCCAGACTGAAAATAATTTTTTCTGTTGTGAAGAAAAATTCTCAGTGTATTTCCAGCAATGAAAACTTTCGGATTACATCTGTTATATGAGGTTTTCAAAAAGAGGTATTAAGATATGTTTAAAACTTCAGTAGTGCACTTAAAAAGCATCCAGAAAGATTTTTTTTAAGTTGGATTAAAATCATATGATCAGCTTTAAAATTTTGATTACAATTTATATAATCCTGTCAATTCCACATGGTAGAAGGATACAAGCATCTTTAGATAACATTGTGTTCTCAGCAGAACTTGCAATATAATTTATGTATAACATTCGCCAAAAGAGCCACATTAGAAAGAGTTAGAATAAGGCTGTCTACAAATGGCTAAACTAATAAACTTAAAATTTAGTTGAATAAGTTAAAACATCCAGAAGCAGAATCCACAGATATTATAGATGTCTCTCTATTCGCAGAGATGAATAGCTGGAGTATAGATGAATTTGTCTGGTTGAAAGCCAATAAAGCCAATACTGCAGTAGCAATAATTAAAGAATAACATACAGTTATCTGGATGCCATACAAAATAACATATAATAAAAGTAACATATTTTGATTTAAAAAATACTTATTTGGTAAATAATACTTGCTGTACTTGACATTTGCTAAGTCTCTATTGCAAGGAGAAATGATGAGTCAAGTTTTTAATGAGATGTATTTCCATTTGTCTGTTCTTACTTTCGGCAAAATTCAATTTTAAATATATTTAGTCATTCAGATACCTTTCTGAACTGAATCTGGTGTCTCATAAGCTTCTTGCATTTCATTTTCTAATTCTTTGAGCAACTCATCTGTTGCAGGAGCTTCAAGAGTTTCTCCATGTATTTCTTCCTTCACTTGCCACTGATCATTTATACTTTGATCTACATCTTCATGTCTCTCTCCTAATCAATAATGCAGATTATTAGTGAATACATATTCTTTGGTAAAGTCTATTACCAGCAAATATTCAGTTTTCAGCACACCCTTTATGACTGGGAGAGGGGACACATAACTTGTCTGTACCTTTCAGCAGTATAAACCCAGTCTCTGTATTGACTTGGCAGTGGCTTCTTTGCGCACAGAAAAAGCCATATCTGTTTAACCATTCTTGGACTCTACACAGTCTTCTAAGAAAATCTTTGTCAACTAAGTTACTGCTGCCAAACATCACTGGGTTAAGAGGTTTAGAATTTGGTTACTGAATTTTCAGAATTTTCTTGAAAATAACATATGAGCCAATTAGAATGTTTTGTACAGGCAAAAGTACTTTAAGGGCATACCAAAAACAGACTCTAAGGGTTGTCTAGCCTATGGCAGTATTTATAAATCCTTCAGTGATTTCTGAGTGTTAGTGCATTACCAGGGTGGGAATGGAGAGCCTCGTGAAGAACAGACTGAATTTCCTCTTCCACATCTACGTCAGCACTCTTGACTTCTAAAAGGATTATAAAATGCAGCAAAGGTAGGTTAAGTGCAAAAGGCAAAGTCTAAACATTAGCTCAAAGCCTGCAGCTTTTACAAATATCCATAAAGTTCTCATTCCAATTCCATAAAGTTCTGTAGAGATTTACTTGATGAACCTCTGCAACTCATGCAATTACAGAAACAATTTGGTTTTGCTAACTCTGCAATACGTAAATTGACTGCATCAATCACACCAGATTCATTCTGAAGATGAATTGCAAGAATTTATCTACCCTGCATTTTCTATGTGTATAATTTTCTCAGTGGCAGTAACTATTCAAATGAAGAATTCTCTTCTAAGTAATTATTTAACTAAAACTTTCAACCATTACTTTTCTAAAATGTAGGCAGCCACACTAGCACGTCATATTTGACAACAGAATGTCATTTTCAGGCGTTGGGTTTTGTTTGCTTTATGAACAGGGAAAATAGATACTAACATTACAATATCAAGGTCTCATCCTGGCAGTTCACAGCAGAATAAATCACTAATTTATTTCAGGGACAAGTGATTCTCATATAAAACACCAGCCTAGGACCTAAAAGGGATTTGTATGAAGTGTAGCCTTAACACCGAAAAACTCAACAAAACCAAATCCCAGCTGTATTTTTCAAATAAAGACCCAAAATGGTATTAGTTATGAAACCAAACAAAAAAAAGGAAACAACAGTTATAATTTTATATTAAGTTTTTATAAATGACAACTTAGTCAAACTAATGCAAGTATTTAAAAACAAATTACATATTCCATTTCATTGACCATATGCTCCATATTTGTGGGTTATTGTATTAACTGCATTAGGTTCACATAAACATCAAGTAGGGTAAGTAAGCCACTTCAAGGAACAGGTAAAAATATATACTCTCTAAAACTAAGATATAAATCACATATCTGAAATCTGACACGTAAAATTATTTTTCTTGAATTCCTCTTGAACCTAATAAATGTTACTAATACAGTACTTTTAAAATGTTAAATTATTCTTTTTCAACACTAGAAGCTGCATTTATTGTATTTATGATACTGATTTTAATAGAAAAGTGAGTATTTTATTAATCTTTTAAATTGGTTGTTGGGCTTTTTCTGGGTGCTTTTGTTTGGTTGGTTTTGTTGGGGTTTTTTTTAGGTGGAGAATCTGTTGTTATTCTGACTGGATACACTGTTGCATATGTATCAAAACCACAACTGTACATCAGCAGAAGTTATTCTGATGGGATATGGTTCTGATAGCAATCATGAAAGCTGACAAGAGTACCTTCTATATTTTGAAATTATAAATTTTCCATGGTCACTGATTTATATATGATTTTATTAACAGATTCCCATTAAATAAACTACAGTTGATGAGCCACTCTTAAAAGTCACCAAAGATTTTTTTTTCTACCCAAAGAAATAACACCATGAGCTCGAGTGCTGAGGAAGCAGAATTATAATCCAAGTGAAGTACTGTATCTTTTGTTTCACCTGTGGTTTATAAAAGGCCTTACCTGATTCGACATATGACTTCTCTGCAGGCTGGATCGTCTCATCAGATTCTGCTGAAGCTGGCTGTGCTGGGACAGATCTTTCTTTAAGGCCTGCATTTTTCAGTTACAAAGTTAACTTTATGCTCTTTTTTATCTGATTCAATTATAAACTAAGAAAGTTGTTTCACTTAAATTAACTGACAAAAAATTCTCCAAAATGCATTAAAAAAATTAACCACAATTACAGGGCTGTTCTTATATACAGTGATATACACAAAGTCTGAAGTGTATATTTCAGATAATAAACAAATGTTTTTAAGACAAAGATACAATGGGTGTGGGAAGGGAGGAAGGGACATAAATTTAACCACTTGCATTTATTCCAAAGTAACTGAACTAAAATTACTGTGCTATTCTCAATATCTACTCAGAAAAAAAAAAAAAAAAAAAAAAAAAAAAAAAAAAAAAAAAAAAAGGAGGGGGGGTTTTTCACCATTTTTTTTTTT